AGCAAAAGTCGCTGTGTAGGTGATGACAGCAAAGGTCGCTGTGTAGGTGATGACAGCAAAGGTCACTGTGTAGGTGATGACAGCAAAGGTCACTGTGTAGGTGATGACAGCAAAGGTCACTGTGTAGGTGATAGACAGCAAAGGTCACTGTGTAGGTGATGACAGCAAAGGTCACTGTGTAGGTGATGACAGCAAGGTCACTGTGGTAGGTGATGACAGCAAAGGTCACTGTGTAGGTGATGACAGCAAAGGTCACTGTGTAGGTGATGACAGCAAAGGTCACTGTGTAGGTGATGACAGCAAAGGTCACTGTGTAGGTGATGACAGCAAAGGTCACTGTGTAGGTGATGACAGCAAAGGTCACTGTGTAGGTGATGACAGCAAAGGTCACTGTGTAGGTGATGACAGCAAAGGTCACTGTGTAGGTGATGACAGCAAAGGTCACTGTGTAGGTGATGACAGCATAGGTCACTCTACAGGTAATCACTTGCTGCACTTTTCATCAATGCGGCACAAATCATCACAAGAATGAAAGTTCAACTGAAGCAACAGTTCATTTTCACTGGCCGGTGGTGGTGCTTCTCGTGGTGGTGGTGCTTCTCGTGGTGGTGGTGCTTCTCGTGGTGGTGGTGCTTCTCGTGGTGGTGGTGCTTCTCGTGGTGGTGGTGCTTCTCGTGGTGGTGGTGCTTCTCGGGTGGTGGTGCTCTCTGTGGTGGTGGTGCTTCTCGTGGTGGTGGTGCTTCTCGTGGTGGGGTGCTTCTCGTGGGTGGGGTGCTTCTCGTGGTGGTGGTGCTTCTCGTGGTGGTGGTGCTTCTCGTGGTGGTGGTGCTTCTCGTGGTGGTGGTGCTTCTCGTGGTGGTGGTGCTTCTCGTGGTGGTGGGTTGCTTCTCGTGGTGGTGGTGCTTCTCGTGGTGGTGGTGCTTCTCGTGGTGGTGGTGCTTCTCGTGGTGGTGTGCTACTCGTGGTGGTGGTGCTTCTCGTGTGGTGGTGCTTCTCGTGGTGGTGGTGCTTCTCGTGGTGGTGGTGCTTCTCGTGGTGGTGGTGCTTCTCGTGGTGGTTGGTGCTTCTCGTGGTGGTGGTGCTTCTCGTGGTGGTGGTGCTTCTCGTGGTGTGGTGCTCTCGTGGTGGTGGTGCTTCTCGTGGTGGTGGTGCTTCTCGTGGTGGTGGTGCTTCTCGTGGTGGTGGTGCTTCTCGTGGTGGTGGTGCTTCTCGTGGTGGTGGTGCTTCTCGTGGTGGTGGTGCTTCTCGTGTGTGTGGTGCTTCTCGTGGTGGTGGTGCTTCTCGTGGTGGGGTGCTTCTCGTGGTGGTGGTGCTTCTCGTGTGGTGGTGCTTCTCGTGGTGGTGGTGCTTCTCGTGGTGGTGGTGCTTCTCGTGGTGGTGGTGCTTCTCGTGGTGGTGGTGCTACTCGTGGTGGTGGTGCTTCTCGTGGTGGTGGTGCTTCTCGTGGTGGGTGGTGCTTCTCGTGGTGGTGGTGCTTCTCGTGGTGGTGGTGCTTCTCGTGGTGGTGGTGCTTCTCGTGTGGTGGTGCTTCTCGTGTGGTGGTGCTTCTCGTGGTGGTGGTGCTTCTCGTGGTGGTGGTGCTTCTCGTGGTGTGGTGCTTCTCGTGGTGGTGGTGCTTCTCGTGGGTGGTGGTGCTTCTCGTGGTGGTGGTGCTTTCTCGTGGTGGTGGTGCTTCTCGTGGTGGTGTGCTTCTCGTGGTGGTGGTGCTTCTCGTGGTGGTGGTGCTTCTCGTGGTGGTGGTGCTTCTCGTGGTGGTGGTGCTTCTCGTGGTGGTGGTGCTTCTCGTGGTGGTGGTGCTTCTCGTGGTGGTGGTGCTTCTCGTGGTGGTGGTGCTTCTCGTGGTGGTGGTGCTTCTCGTGGTGGTGTGCTTCTCGTGGTGGTGGGCTTCTCGTGGTGGTGGTGCTTCTCGTGGTGGTGGTGCTTCTCGTGGTGGTGGTGCTTCTCGTGGTGGTGGTGCTTCTCGTGGTGGTGGTGCTTCTCGTGTGGTGGTGCTTCTCGTGGTGGGTGGTGGCTTCTCGTGGTGGTGTGCTTCTCGTGAGGTGGTGCTTCTCGTGGTGGTGGTGCTTCTCGTGGTGGTGGTGCTTCTCGTGGTGGTGGTGCTTCTCGTGGGTGGTGCTTCTCGTGTGGTGGTGCTACTCGTGGTGGTGGTGCTTCTCGGGTGGTGGTGCTTCTCGTGGTGGTGGTGCTTCTCGTGGTGGTGGTGCTTCTCGTGGTGGTGGTGCTTCTCGTGGTGGTGGTGCTTCTCGTGGTGGTGGTGCTTCTCGTGGTGGTGGTGCTTCTCGTGGTGGTGGTGCTTCTCGTGGTGGTGGTGCTTCTCGTGGTGGTGGTGCTTCTCGTGGTGGTGGTGCTTCTCGTGGTGGTGGTGCTTCTCGTGTGGTGGTGCTTCTCGTGGTGGTGGTGCTTCTCGTGGTGGTGGTGCTTCTCGTGGTGGTGTGCTTCTCGTGGTGGTGGTGCTTCTCGTGGTGGTGGTGCTTCTCGTGGTGGTGGTGCTTCTCGTGGT